ACTTTCTTCCATCCGTCTACCATTCCTTCTCACCCTTCTTTAGTTTCCTTTGCTTTGATACAGTGCTATGCATATGGCCTACTCTAAAATTCACACTGCCCACAGGTGATCCTCCATATTCCATGCAACTCTCTTGACAGGTATGGTGCATTTCCTATTTTAATCTGGGTGCCTTAATTAGGGATCATTTGGTTATAAGTAAGAAAAAATAGTTTCAAACTTCCTTAAGCAAAAATAGGAGTTATGACCCTTTTATTCCCATAAGGGACTTAATCAGAAAGTAGAAAGTCAGGTCACAAGGTTACTTAGCAATTTTCTCACACTCAGACTCAGTAGCTGCCGCATTACTATCACTCTTTGCAGAACAATTTTTTGTGCTACTCCCAGCAGAATTCAGATCCTCCATGTAGCCAGATAGCAACTTTCATTTTAAGTACCTGTCAGAGACTGACAGCAATTCCCACATCCTGTGAGAAAAAAATCTGGCTGACTCAGCACGTGCAGCCAGGACAGATGTTCAGTAAACCATGATCGAAACCCATTCTCTACCCAGCAGAGGTGGTGTAAATACACTGTCAAGGAGGAGCCTTGGACATGACAGTTAAATTGGCTAAAACAAACATATAAATTGTCACTTAAAAATTCAAGAAGCGGTCAGTATTTATCCATTTAGTCAATCAGTTAGCCCTTCAATCATCAATATAACTTCTCACTCTGAAGAAGACTCCATGGAGAAGAAACAGAGACCCAGACATGTAGCCTGTCCAAAGACAATCTGTCTAGTAGAGAGTAAAGCATAGACACAAGTATGATAGAAGGCTGTGTTTCTGTAATGAGTACCTGTTGGTATATTCCTGTGACTCCATAAAGTTCTTTATATTAATAACAGTTTTAAAATATTGTCTCTATCTTTTATTGAGAATCTAAAAATATAATCCTATTCTGGACTATCTAGATAAATACCTAATGACCATGTTTTGCCACTGAGTTTCACTGATTAAAACTGATTCGTGTTTATGGTTATAAGGTGTGAACTGACCACTTAATAACTTTTACTTTGAACTGTTTAAAGAAGTATTTCTTACACTGAAATCACCAGGTACTTTTGGGGGGCTTTGAGGGTTCTCGGGTGTGAGAAGCACTGATAAAAGGAGAAAATTGATAAGGTGTTGTCATTTATTGAACTACTCCAATGAGCTACATAGTGTTATAATGCTTTTATAATGTTTCACACTTAAGTCTGAAAATAATCACATGAAGTGACATTATCCTTCATGTATTATTATTATTACCCTCACTGTGTACATAAAGAAAATGAAGCCTATAAAAGCTAAGCCATTTGTCCAAAGCTCATCAAGCTGCTCATGTTGGAGCCATAATGATAATATAGGCATATCTCATACTATCTCATCAATACCCTTCTTCTACATTATGTTGACTCAGGAAAGGGGGTGTTTACATGCTATACTCCATACTTTTAGTAATGGCATCCAGGTAGTTAAGAGGTAATTCTGGCAAAATCAGAACAGCTGAAAAGCATGAGATTCATAAAACAATAAAGATTATCTTAATCTGGTGAAAATAGTGGACTTGAAAATAGGGTTGGGAGATAAAATAAAAATTTAAAAACTTAAAAAGCAAATAAAGTGCAGGAAACCCAGTTGAATCTAAATTTCAGATAAACGATACTTTTTTAGTGTATTTCCCCTGTAGTGTTTGAGAAATGTTTATACTAAAAAGTTAGATATTAATTACCTGAAATTCAGATTAACTAAGTGCCCTGTAATTTATCTAGCAACTCTCCATGACACAAAGTACAAGAACACCTCATTTTGTGGGACTTCACTTTATTATGCTTCACAGACAATATGTTTTTTTGTGAATCAAAGATCTGTGGCAACCCCGCAGTGAGCAAGTCTGTCTACATTTTTTCAACAGCATGTACTCCCTTCGTGTCTGTGTTACACTTTGCTAATTCTCACAATATTTCAAGCTTTTTCCTTTTTATTATTATCTTTTATGGTAATCTGTGATTGGTGATCTTTGATGTTACTATTGTAATTGTTTTGGGGTGACACAAACTGTACTAATAAGATAACGAACTTAATTGATAAATGTGTGTGCTCACTGTGTCACTGACCAGCTACTCTCCCAGTCTCTTTCCCTCTCCTCTGGCTGAGACACAGCAATGTTGACATTGGGCCAATTAATAACCCTACAATGGCTTCTAAGGTTCAAATGAAAGGAATCACATGTTTCTCACTTTAAATCAAAAGCTAGAAATTATTAGGCTTAGTGAGGAAGGCACGTCCAAAGCTCAGATAGGCCCAAAGCTAAACCTTTGTACCAGTTAGTCAAACTGTGAATGCAAAGGAAAAATTCTCAAACTTATAGTGCTTCTCCAGTTAACACAAGAATGATAAGAAAATGAAATATCCTTATTGCTGAGATGGAGAAAACTCCAATGACCTGGGCAGAATATCAAACCAGCCACAGCATTTCCATCAGCCAAAGCATAATCAAGAGCAAAGCTCTGACTCTCTTCAATTCAATGAAGGCTGAGAAAGGTGAGGAAGAAAAGTCTGGAACTCACAGAGGTTGATTCATGACATTTAAGGAAAGAAACCATCTCCTTAACATAAAAGGGCAAAGTGAAAGACCAAATGCTGATTTAGAAGCTGCAGCAAATTATCCAGAGATGATCTAATAAGATCATTGATGAAGGTAGCTGCATTAAGCAATAGATTTTCCATGTAGATGAAACAGCCTGGTATTGAAAGAAGATGCCATCTAAAACCTTCATAACGGGGACAAATCAATGCCTGGCTTCAAAGTTTCAAAGGACAGGCTGACTCTCCTTTTAGGGGCTAATGCAGTTGATGACTTTAAGTTGAAGTCAATGCTCATTTACCATCCTGAACATCTTGGGGCCTTTAAGAATTATGCTAAATCTATTTTGCTTTTGGTCTCTAAATGTCACAACACAGCACATCTGTTTATAGCATCATTTACTGAATATTTTAAGTTCACTCTTAAGACATACTGCTCAGAGAAAAAGATTATTTTCAAAATATTACTGTTCATTGATAATGCACCTGGTCAGCCAAGAATGCTGATGGAGGTGTACAAGGAGATTCATGTCGTTTTCATGACTGCTAACACAACGACCATTCTGTAGCCCCTGGATCAAGGAACAATTTTGACTTTTAAGTCTTATTATTAAAAAAATACATTTCATAAGGCTATAGCTGCCATAGTCATTCCTCTGATGGATCTGGGCAAAGCAAATTAAAAACCTTCTGGAAAGGATTCACCATTCTAGATTTCTCCCCTTTATGAAGGTTTTAGATGGCATCTTCTTTCAATACCAAGCTATTTCACCTACATGGAAAAGCTATTGCTTAATGCAGCTACCTACATCAATGATCTTATTAGATCGTCTCTGAATAACTTGCTACAGCATCTAAATCAGCATTTGGTCTTTCACTTTACCCTTTTATGTTAAGGAGATGGTTCTTTCTAAGAACGTTCAAAATTCATGGTAGGAGGTCAAAATATCAACATGAACAGGAGTTCCGAAGAAGTTGATTCCAACTCTCATGGACATCTTTGAAGGGTTCAAGACTTCAGTGGAGGAAATCACTGCAGATGTGGTAAAAATATCAAGAAAACCAGAATTAGGAGTGGAGCCTGAGGACGTGACTGAATTTCTGCAATCTCATCATCAGATATGAACAAAGAGGGACTGCTTGGATGAGCAAAGAAAGTGGTTTCTTGAGACGGAATGTACTCTGGGTGAAGTTGCTGAGAACATTGTTGAAATGACAACAAAGGATTTAGAATATTACATAAGCTTAGTTAATAAAGCAGTAGTAGAATTTTAGAGGGTTAAGTCCAATTTTGAAAGAAGTTCTATTGTGGGTAAAATGCTATCAAACAGCATCACCTGCTACAGAGAAATCTTTCAAGACAGGAACGTCAATCAATGTGACAAACTTCATTGTTGTCTCATTTTTAAAAATTTGCCACAGCCATCCAAACCCTCAGCAACCACCATCCTGATCAGTCAGCAACCATCAACACTGAGGCAAGACCCTCCACCAGCAAAAGTATTACGACTTGCTAAGGCTCAGATGATTGTTAGCATCTTTTAGCAATACAGTATTTTTTAAATTAAGGCATGTAGACATTTTTAGACATAATGCTATTGAACGCTTAATAACTACAGCAAAGGTAAATGTAACTTTTATTCGCATTAAGATGCCGAAAATGTTGTGTGACTTTTTTTATTAAGACTTTGCTTTATTGTGGTGGTCTGGAACCAGATCCCCAATATCTCTGAGGTTTGCCTCTGGTTGGGTACACGCATGAGAGGTAGGGAGTGGTGTGGATAAACAGAGCCTGAGCTGAATCAGCTGGCTAAGGTTAGACTTTCTTCTCCAGGCAAAGGGAATTATTTTGTTTCTGAGAAAAATATTGGCATGATTGGATTTGTGCTTCAGGAAGATTAATCTGGCTGAGAAAGGTAAAACAAATTAGAGACATGAAGAGTTGGAGGTAGCAATTCAGATGAGAGGGCCTGAATTACGCTAGTGGCAATAGGAGAGAGAGGGGCAGTGGCAGACTTGATGACATAAGAGAGGTAGCATCACCAAGTTCGCTAATAAAATTTGCCTATCTGGATTTATAGAACTAACAAACACCTTTGAAAAAAAAATATGTACCACTATCGATATTTCTATTTCAAAACAAATACTTGAAATGCCTCTTGGATTGTTTTCCCCACATTTGGGTGACATTTTCCCCAGAAGCTATGTAAACAGCTCTGACTCGATCCTGAGTTCCTCCACTAAGTTCATGAAGTAGTTTTTCATCATGACAGTAAACCCAGAGCACACACTCAGGAGGCATATGATGGATTAAGGACATCTTTGAACTGCCAGTGGGAATGAAAAACAGAAGAAGACTAAAGACTGCAGCACACCAGAAGGAAATCTTACCTTTTGGTTGTTTTTTTATCAAGCATGAAGTTTATCTTTTGCCCCAGGACTGTAATGTTTTCCACATGGGCACAGTGGTTTATGGCAACAATGTAGGTACCCTCCAGAGGTTTCCTACGTCATCCATCATGTCCAGTCTCCAGTTGTCACACAAGTATCATCCAGATATCCCACACTGAAAAAGAGAACAGAATGAACAGAATGTGCAATTTTAGAATATAAAAACATCTAGAATATAGAAACACGTGATATCCATCTTTTTTCCATTTGTTCAGCAAACATTTATTATGTACCTACTATGTCCTAGAACAGGGGTCAGCAAACTAAAGCCTATAAGCCAAATCTGGCCTACAGTCTGTTTTTATAAATAAAGTTTTATTGGAACACATTCATACTCATTGTCTAGCTTCTTCCAAGCTTTGCTGGTAGGAATGCATAAAGGGAAATCTTATGTCCTGCAGGATTGGCAAACTTCCCTAAAAGAATAGGGGATAAATATGGGGGGCTATATCATCTCTGTCATAACTACTCTATTTTGTGTTGTGAAGCAAAAACAGCTATAGAAAACATGTAAATTTTCTTTAAAATTGTATTTACAAAACAGGAGGTGAACCTGCAGCCATAATTTGTCACCTATGGTCTAGACCATAGAATGCATCTGTGTCTCTAGAAAGAATAATAATAATTTCTGCAAGAACTAACCAATGTTGGTTCAATATTTTTATTTCTCTACACTAGTGGCAACACAGAGGTTTGACAAAATATATTTTGTTTTTGGATTCTCCATCTGATGACTTTTCTATCTTAAGTAATACAATTTCAACAGATCACAGTTAAATGTCAAGTTGATTTTATCCTGTTTTGTTCATGTTCAACTATTTGTTTCAATAATATACCTGTTGCAAAAGGGAAAAGAACACATCATTTTTATACATTTCTCAAATGCATTTGACTAGAGGAATTTTATGGTATTGTGTTTTTATTTCAACATATACTTGAGTAAACTGATTCTTTGACTAAGTTTAGATGTAAATTCTGGTGCATGATGATCAACTGCTAGTAGTCAGAAAAGAAAGTATATCAGCATTTAGAAGGCACACTCTGAATTTACTCAATGCTATGTCTACGTGATATCCATTATATGTGGGACAATCAGTAGGAATCCAGTCAGAGACAGAAACCACATCAGTAATTTGATCAGGGAAACTTTAAAGAATTATTCACTAGTTAAAAGGGTAGTACCATGTTACTAGTTAAAAAGCAAAGAACAGAAAAGAATACCTGAAACATATCTCCAGCACCTCCCTTAACCTCCACATCCAATCATTTGCCAAGATCCACATCTATTTAGTCTGTTATTATTATTATTTCCTATTTGAGCTCTGTACGTTCAGTCTCTTTCTGATGCAATATTAATCTTTCCTAACTAGTCACAACCCTTCTCAAAATCCTTTAAAACAATATTCCAATCTAATATCTTTTTTAAACCAGTCCTTTAAACCAATTGCCTTCTTAGTATTTAAGAACTTCTTGGCTTTTTACTTAAAAACTTCCACAAAACTGCTTAATTTCCTTTTCCAGGATTAATTTTGTACTTTCTTGCCTAAGTAGTTTAGCTGAGTCCTTCATTTCTTCAAGAATGTCCTCACCCCCATCTCCAACTGTCAAAATTTTCTTATTTCTTGAGAACCAATCTCAAATGCCATTCTTCCCATGAAAACTTTCCTGTCGTTCCATTAAATAAATACACTCATTCCCTACTCTGATCTCTTCCAACAGCATTTCATATTTCCCTAATATCAATTACCACATGTGACAAAAATTATATTAATTTGTCTACTATCATGAGAAAATGCCAGCTGATAAATAACTTGTAGACTAAGACTATATTTTAGGGAGTTGGTATATTACAAGAGATGATGCATTAAAGCTGATGGTTGGCTAGGAGGCCCAGCTACACTTGTCAGAGGTCCTCTTCAGGCCTTAATTTCTGACTCAGTGAAGTATGGATAATAGGACACCATCAACAGCCTCACACACAAAGTCACACAGTGTTTAGCTCAAAGTAGGTGTCAAATAAATCATTTCTTCCTTTTCTTTTCATCTTTAGATCCCTCCTGGCCCCTAACACAAAGAATGTTCAACACTTTAAATTCGTCTGTATGGAAATGTAAACAATCTGAATGTCCAGTGTAGCACAATACTCAAAAGAACTTTAAATTTGTGAATCTCAATGTCCTCCCATATGGGAAACAAAATATAAATGAACTAGTGCTCCCAACTGGGCATGTGGGTGGGGGAAAGGGAAAAGGAAGGGAACAGATGGAGCAAGGGGATTGCTTTTGTAATCCTTAAATTCCAGAATCATACCATTGTTTTGATTTTGAATTCAGCTTGCAAATTTTAAATGGAAACATTCGTTCTTTCTTTGCTCCCTATTGACTTTCCAATGCTTTTTTATTATGTTTTATTTCTCCCCTCATTTTGCATTATCTCCAAATCCAATGGAATCACTACTGTCAAATGAAAATTTTACTTGTGATTTTATTTAAAAAATCAAAAATTGCTTAAAGCACATTAAGTTGATTTTAAGTAAATAAGAAACGAAATTCTAAAAATTGTGCATAAATTAAAATTTTTAATTATAAATGAATGAGTGAATATTGAGTTAAATGTTCTACTTTAATCCTTGGGGAATGAATTCATATTTATAAATAATTATTTGGGAAAAGTGAATCATTTCACATTGACATATATATAGATATATCTTTTTTAAATGTATGAAATTTGTTTCATATAGACTAAATCTGTAATCTCATTTCTACCTACTTGAAATTCATTTATATGACAAAATATGTATTGTTTTTTGAGAAAATAAAAACCATGATTAATGAAACAAATAAAGAGGATAAATCATGACCTACATTTTAATAAATTTAGCCCTCATTTTAGAAATTATGGCCAAATCAAGTGCCCTATGTCTTATATTCATTTGGAAAATACTTCTCTGAACACAGAAAAGAAATAGAACACTATTAAAACTTCTGGCACAGGCTGCTAAGCAGTTGAATATAATTTTATAGATTTTTTTAAACTTGAATATGGAGAGGCTTTTGACTGTCATGTCTTCAGTAAGATTTGTATAAATGAGGAATGACCAGTTGCATCATGATAAACAAACGTATTGCTCAATGTACTACAAGTTTTATTATGATGATGAAAAACTCACATAAAAAATACAGATTTATAAAACAGAGATTTTTCCCGTTAAGGATCACAGAATATTTTAACTAATGGGACAGAGAGATGACTTGGTTAGCCTTTTCCTTTTCTACTTCAAGATGTTGAGGCTTAGAAAGATACTGACATACCCAAGATGATCCAGGTTGTTGGTGGCCACACCACAAGAAATTTAGGACTGTTTCTTCCTCTATCCCATAACTTAAAATACAAAAGGAAAATTACAGTGGGTACAAAATTCAAAATTTAAGCTATTTTTCCCTGCACTATTTAGTCAAGCTACACTGAGGTTGTTCTTGCTTGTTCATTTTTGTTTGTTGTGCAAAGTATCTTATTATCCTCAAAAACTAAAAAGCTAAGGTATTGTCTCTGGGAAAGTTTTCAAAATCAAATCAAAATAAATGATGAAAACCAAAGTAAATACTCGCTATAACTAAACACATCATCTATTCCCAAGAAGTAAATGTCCTAGGGCTCTCATAAATATTTTGGATTATCACAGTTGAAGAAGGGTTAATCACCAATATTCCAATAATCTCCAGCCACTTGCCAACACATAAAATTGAAGGGCGAATGTCCAGGCCTAGAATCTCTCAATTATTTTTTTCATATTCCAATAGGTTTAGTCACAGCCTATCCAAGTTTTATACAAAGCATTGAAATTCTACCCACCAATCACAACACAAACTCAATCATGAAGCTGAACATCATTTTTTGATGCTTTTCTTTTCATTTTATTTACATGTACTTCTCTCTGGAATCATTAATGACTTTTCCCCTTATATTCTTACAAAAATATACACACATGAATACACATAACTTACTCTTTATTCATCTTCCATGGAAAATTTATAACTATCTTTCCCTGCTCTCTCCACCAGGGATAATTTCCCTTTGCCATCAATCTATCGTTCAACTTGTGCCAATTAATTGTTCAACACAGAATTGAAGGCTAATTAATAGAGAACAGGGGCATGGACCAAAGAAGTAGAATATGTAGAACCTATACTTAGCTCAGGCAAAAATGGATGCTTTATATAATTCTCCCCTAAACAAAAATGATAATATTAACTGACTTACTATAGCCCTTATATTATTAGTACTATCTTAAGGCAACGGTTCTCAACTAGAGGCATCTTTGCCTCCCACAGGAGATATGGCAACGTCTGGAGACATTTTTGATTGTCACAACTTTGGGAGTGGGGAGCTGCTACTGGTGTCTAGTGAATAGATGTCATAGGTCCTAGGACAGCGCCCTACAACAAAGAATTAACTGGCCAAAAATGTCATTCATGCCAAAGATGAAAACCCTCTCCTAACGCCTTATTCTAAGTACTTTATGTACATAAAATCATTTACCCTTAGATTACCCTCATTTCACTGGTGAGTTATAGGAGTCACAGAAAGATCAAATAACCTGTGAAAGAAGTTAAGTAACATCTAGTAAGTGACAAAGAAAAGATTTGAAATTAAGAGATCTGGACTCCAGCAGTTCTATCCCCTCCCCACCTCCCATTCTGCCAGCTAAAATTGTATCCATTTTTTTTTCTGAAGGCCCAAATTACTAAAATTTTTCAAATTCAGTTGATCCTAGGACAATGTGGGAGTTAGGGGCACTGACCCCTCACACAGTCAAAAATGCATGTATAATTTTTGACTCCCCCAAAACTTAGCTACTAATAGCCTACTATTGACCAGAAACTTTACTAATAAAATAAACAGTCAATTCACACATATTTTTCATGATATATATTATAATATATAGTATATACTGTATTCTTACAATAAAGAAAGCTAGAGAAAAGAAAATGTTATTAAGAAAATCATAAAGGAGAGAAAATATATTTATTATTCATTGAGTGGAAGTAGATCATCATAAAGGTTTTCATCCTTGTCATCTTCACTCTGAGTAGGCTGAGGAGAAGGAGGAAGAGAAGGGGTTGGTCTTATCA